GGTTCTTTTGTTTTAAACCCCCCCCCCCCCCCCCCATTGCAGAGTCCCCTCCACTCGGTATTGGTATCTATTAAATGCTGAATTACACAGCACCATTCCTTTTAATAGATGTAATTACTTAGCTTGCTAGAGTACCTGTGCCTGCTTTTTACCGTTAAAAATGTGTTGATTTTGCAAAGTAAAACATTACAATTTCTAATGGTTCTCTAAATCAGTTCTCAAACTTCATTGCACCGTGATCCTCTTCTGACAACAAAAATTACTATATGAGGAAGAACTGAAGCCTGAATCCACCCAAACCCTGCCACACCAAGCAAGAAACAAAGCTTGAGCCCTAACACCTAGGGTGGATGGAATGACCAAAGCTGAAGTCCCAAAGGCTTTAGACCCCAAGAAGAAGGCCGGTAACATGAGCCCCACTGCTCCGAGCTAAACTGAAGCCTGACTCCCCCTAATCTGAGCTGAAACCCTCAGGCTTTGGCTCTGGTCGGTGAGACTCAGATTCGGCTTTGGCCCTCAGCCCCAGTAAGTCTAACACCAGCCCTGGCACTCCATTAAAAACGTTTGAGAACCCCAGTTCTAAATCGTAGACATCTGCATTAAATACTTCGCTGTAGCACTGAAAACTGTTTCTAAAAATAACATTTGCAACACACGTCTAATAAATGCCCTCTTGGCTCCCAGAAGCAGAAGGTTTATTATCCGGATGACTAGAAAAAACCAGGGGTACAGAAAGAAGGCAGCTCTCCCACTGAGAGCTTGCTCAACTTAGGCTTAGCTTTTACTCAGTCTGGAACCCACCTAGAAATGCTCAGAGATCCAGCTGCTCTGAATTATGATTAACACGTTGTTAACGTGCCCCTGGTTTTTGAAAAGCTGCTGAACTAGAGCAGCCCACCTCCTTCCCCGGGGTTGCCTGGTTTGCGTTGGTGACTATTTCCCTGGTCTTTAGCCTCGTCTTGCTTTATTTATCACCAGCTCATCTTCCGATGTCCGGCAACGGATGCAAAGCCAAGGGAGACAGCGGGGGGAAAACAGGGATGCCCCTTGCGCAATGGTGCATCAGCCCGCGGGCGGCGGGGAGGATTTGCGCAGTCTCCGGCCCCACCTGAACAGCAGCGCGGACACCCCTGGGGCCACCGCTAACTAAACCGCCCCCCATCTCCTGTGGGGAACAACAGCGGGGCCAGCTACCCGCCGCAAGGCAGGGGGGGC